AACAATAAGACTAAATCTCAAAGTCTAAAAAATATTGAAATGTTTTTTGTTGCAAGTTTACTTCAACAGTTATTCGCATTTAGAACCTACCGCCACTCCTAAAGGTCTTTCATAATTGGCGTGCATTTTGAACGGTTTTGTACCACTCCACAAAAAAAACAACTTAGAACGCCCCTGTTCCCATTTAAATTTGTTAAATATTTGAGGTGTGTGTCAGGACTGGCTGCTATCCAGGTATTTTTTATTCAACTTAGAATAATCTACAAATAATGTGATTGACACTACGGTTCCCAGAAAAAATGCACAAACTAATTATAATAAAACATTTAAATGTTCGCGTTTCGTGGAAAAAATGTTTTTATATACAAGGTAATTTGCGGTCATTCTTTGTTATTGTCTATAGATGTTCTATTTAAGAACATAAAAACGCACTTCCGTCTTCCGTTACGTATCTCTCCGGTCACCATACATTGTTAATGCCTAGAAGTAAGAAGTAACCTTCAACTGATAATTGTGACGTCAGACTTTCTTACGACCCCCCCCCCCCCCCCCCCCCCCCCCCCCCCATCCAACAACTCACCAAACAAGCGTGTGTACAATGGAGGCAGAAAATGTCAACCACTCAAAAAAATAAATTAAGAAGTCAATAAAAAGACAAATTGTTTTTTATTCGTACTGTGTTTTTACAACATTGAAACAATCAAACAATCAATTTTGATCTACCAGTTAAAAGAGTGGTTGCTAAGATCTTCCTGAACAGATCAAACCGTCAGAAGCAGCACCCTTCAAACACCAGCAACAGTCAGATGTTGAATGCAACTTTTTGCTACTCAGACCTTCCAGTCCTTGTAGCCCTAACAGAGAGAACTTGACCAAACTAAAAACAACACAATCCTAGTACTAAACAGATGCAACAGCAACATTTTGAGTCAAACTTTCAAACAGCGTGTAAACAAGACCTGTTTCAAATGTTGAAACATGCAGTTGTCCCGGTGATGTGATGGCTGATGGTGTGGACTATGTACAACAGATCTCACCTGGCAACAGAAACAATGAGAGAGACATTAGGTTGGGGCATCAGGTAAGGCATTTCATGGGGCATTTGGTTGGGGCATCAGGTAAGGCATTTCATGGGGCATTTGGTTGGGGCATCAGGTAAGGCATTTCATGGGGCATTTGGTTGGGGCATCAGGTAAGGCATTTTATGGGGCATTTGGTTGGGGCATTAGGTAAGGCATTTCATGGGGCATTTCATGGGGCATTTGGTTGGGGCATTAAGTACGGGCATTAGGTAAGGCATTTCATGGGGCATTTGGTTGGGACATTAAGTAGGGGGCATCAGGTAAAGGCATTTCATGGGGCATTAGGTTGGGGCATTAATTAGGGGCATCATGTAAGGCATTTCATGGGGCATTTGATTGGGGCATTAAGTAGGGGCATCAGGTAAGGCATTTCATGGGGCATTTGATTGGGGCATTAAGTAGGGGCATCAGGTAAGGCATTTTCATGGGGCATTTGGTTGGGGCATTAGGTAAGGCATTTCATGGGGCATTAGGTTGGGGCATCAGGTAAGGCATTTCATGGGGCATTTGGTTGGGGCATTAAGTAGGGGCATCAGGTAAGGCATTTCATGGGGCATTAAGTAGGGGCATCAGGTAAGGCATTTCATGGGGCATTTGGTTGGGGCATTAGGTAAGGCATTTCATGGGGCATTAGGTTGGGGCATCAGGTAAGGCATTTCATGGGGCATTTGGTTGGGGCATTAAGTAGGGGCATCAGGTAAGGCATTTCATGGGGCATTAAGTAGGGGCATCAGGTAAGGCATTTCATGGGGCATTTGGTTGGGGCATTAGGTAAGGCATTTCATGGGGCATTAGGTTGGGGCATCAGGTAAGGCATTTCATGGGGCATTTGGTTGGGGCATTAAGTAGGGGCATCAGGTAAGGCATTTCATGGGGCATTAGGTTGGGGCATTAATTAGGGGCATCATGTAAGGCATTTCATGGGGCATTTGATTGGGGCATTAAGTAGGGGCATCAGGTAAGGCATTTCATGGGGCATTAAGTAGGGGCATCAGGTAAGGCATTTCATGGGGCATTTGGTTGGGGCATTAGGTAAGGCATTTCATGGGGCATTAGGTTGGGGCATCAGGTAAGGCATTTCATGGGGCATTTGGTTGGGGCATTAAGTAGGGGCATCAGGTAAGGCATTTGATTGGGGCATTAAGTAGGGGCATCAGGTAAGGCATTTCATGGGGCATTTGGTTGGGGCATCAGGTAAGGCATTTCATGGGGCATTTGGTTGGGGAATTAAGTAGGGGCATCAGGTAAGGCATTTCATGGGGCATTAGGTTGGGGCATTGGGCATCAGGTACGGCATTTCATGGGGCATTTGATTGGGGCATTAAGTAGGGGCATCAGGTAAGGCATTTCATGGGGCATTTGGTTGGGGCATTAAGTAGAGGCATCAGGTAAGGCATTTCATGGGGCATTAGGTTGGGGCATTGGGCATCAGGTAAGGCATTTCATGGGGCATTTGGTTGGGGCATTAAGTAGAGGCATCAGGTAAGGCATTTCATGGGGCATTTGGTAGAGGCATTAAGCAGGGGCATTTGATAAGGCATTTGGTAGGGTCAATTGTTTAAAGATCAGTTTCTAGTTCAATTTTTACCTCAAGCAAGGGAAATAACATTTAAAATTTAATCTCACCTTTTCCAAGGTGAATTACTGCCATCTTATTTATATACAAAGTTGAACCTGCAGAAAAAAGAATTGACTCAATATAAGCTTTATCAACACAGCAAGTGGGAACAGGTACAACTAGGCCAACAATAAAAGCATTTCGTTTGATACAGATAGGAAGGGCATACAACTGGACGGTCATACAGCAGACAGGAGGGACGTACAACAGACAGGACGGACGTACAACAGACAGGACGGACGTACAACAGACAGGAGGGACGTACAACAGACAGGAGGGACGTACAACAGACAGGAGGGACGTACAACAGACAGGGGGGACGTACAACAGACAGGGGGGACGTACAACAGACAGGGGGGAGGGACGTACAACAGACAGGGGGGACGTACAACAGACAGGAGGGGGGACGTACAACAGACAGGGGGGGGGACGTACAACAGACAGGGGGGACGTACAACAGACAGGAGGGGGGACGTACAACAGACGGGGGACGTACAACAGACAGGGGGGACGTACAACAGACGGGGGGACGTACAACAGACAGGGGGGACGTACAACAGACGGGGGGACGTACAACAGACAGGGGGGACGTACAACAGACGGGGGGACGTACAACAGACAGGGGGGACGTACAACAGACAGGAGGGAGGGACGTACAACAGACAGGGGGGACGTACAACAGACAGGAGGGGGGACGTACAACAGACAGGGGGGACGTACAACAGACAGGAGGGACGTACAACAGACAGGAGGGACGTACAACAGACAGGGGGGACGTACAACAGACAGGGGGGACGTACAACAGACAGGGGGGACGTACAACAGACAGGGGGGACGTACAACAGACAGGGGGGACGTACAACAGACAGGGGGGACGTACAACAGACAGGGGGGACGTACAACAGACAGGGGGGACGTACAACAGACAGGAGGGACGTACAACAGACAGGGGGGACGTACAACAGACAGGAGGAGGGACGTACAACAGACAGGGGGGACGTACAACAGACGGGGGGACGTACAACAGACAGGAGGGACGTACAACAGACAGGGGGGACGTACAACAGACAGGGGGGACGTACAACAGACGGGGGGACGTACAACAGACAGGGGGGACGTACAACAGACAGGAGGGAGGGACGTACAACAGACAGGGGGGACGTACAACAGACAGGAGGGGGGACGTACAACAGACAGGGGGGACGTACAACAGACGGGGGGACGTACAACAGACAGGAGGGACGTACAACAGACAGGGGGGACGTACAACAGACAGGGGGGACGTACAACAGACAGGGGGGACGTACAACAGACAGGGGGGGACGTACAACAGACAGGAGGGGGGACGTACAACAGACAGGGGGGACGTACAACAGACAGGAGGGACGTACAACAGACGGGGGGACGTACAACAGACAGGGGGGACGTACAACAGACAGGGGGGACGTACAACAGACAGGGGGGACGTACAACAGACAGGACGGACGTACAACAGACGGGGGGGACGTACAACAGACAGGAGGGACGTACAACAGACAGGGGGGACGTACAACAGACAGGGGGGACGTACAACAGACAGGGGGGACGTACAACAGACAGGGGGGACGTACAACAGACAGGGGGGACGTACAACAGACAGGGGGGAGGGACGTACAACAGACAGGAGGGGGGACGTACAACAGACAGGAGGGGGGACGTACAACAGACAGGGGGGGACGTACAACAGACAGGAGGGGGGACGTACAACAGACAGGGGGGACGTACAACAGACAGGAGGGACGTACAACAGACGGGGGGACGTACAACAGACAGGGGGGACGTACAACAGACAGGAGGGACGTACAACAGACAGGGGGGACGTACAACAGACAGGGGGGACGTACAACAGACAGGGGGGACGTACAACAGACAGGACGGACGTACAACAGACGGGGGGACGTACAACAGACAGGAGGGACGTACAACAGACAGGGGGGACGTACAACAGACAGGGGGGACGTACAACAGACAGGGGGGACGTACAACAGACAGGGGGGACGTACAACAGACAGGGGGGACGTACAACAGACAGGGGGGAGGGACGTACAACAGACAGGAGGGGGGACGTACAACAGACAGGAGGGGGGACGTACAACAGACAGGGGGGGACGTACAACAGACAGGAGGGGGGACGTACAACAGACAGGGGGGACGTACAACAGACAGGAGGGACGTACAACAGACGGGGGGACGTACAACAGACAGGGGGGACGTACAACAGACAGGGGGGACGTACAACAGACAGGGGGGACGTACAACAGACAGGACGGACGTACAACAGACGGGGGGACGTACAACAGACAGGAGGGACGTACAACAGACAGGGGGGACGTACAACAGACAGGGGGGACGTACAACAGACAGGGGGGACGTACAACAGACAGGGGGGACGTACAACAGACAGGGGGGACGTACAACAGACAGGAGGGACGTACAACAGACAGGGGGGACGTACAACAGACAGGGGGGACGTACAACAGACAGGAGGGACGTACAACAGACAGGAGGGGGGACGTACAACAGACAGGGGGGACGTACAACAGACAGGGGGGACGTACAACAGACAGGGGGGACGTACAACAGACAGGGGGGACGTACAACAGACAGGGGGGACGTACAACAGACAGGGGGGACGTACAACAGACAGGAGGGACGTACAACAGACAGGAGGGGGGACGTACAACAGACAGGGGGGACGTACAACAGACAGGAGGGGGGACGTACAACAGACAGGGGGGACGTACAACAGACAGGAGGGACGTACAACAGACAGGGGGGACGTACAACAGACAGGAGGGGGGACGTACAACAACTATGACCAGCAGGGCTATCAAGTTTGAAACACAAAGGTCACAGGGGTCAGGCACAAGCGCACAAAGCCTCCCCTTGAGCACGTCGTGCGTACAATGACCTGCACGTGCAGCAGGAGGCTGTGAGCAGACAATAGGTCCGAGCTTTGACCCCATCAGATGCACATCAACAACATGCCAGGTCCCCTCGAGCAGACCCCTTTAATTATAGTACCTTTAGAGCTACCTGTTTTTTGACACAGCCTACACAGAGGGGAGCAATGACCGACCAAAAATACCCGGAACAGCCAAACTCCAAAATATAAAATCAATTCATATCACAACTGTCAACTCACGTGGAGCAAGCCAATGGTCCAGGTTTTATACTGGATTACATAGGGCCAAGTTCAGGCTAAAGAACAATGGTCCAGGTTTTATACTGGATTACATAGGGCCAAGTTCAGGCTAAAGAACAATGGTCCAGGTTTTATACTGGATTACATAGGGCCAAGTTCAGGCTAAAGAAGACAACAGAGAGATCAGACCAAATTGGGGAGCTGTTGTAGTTGCAGATTGCCTACGTCCATACCATGTCCTGCTGAGGTCATTGCCTACGTCCATACCATGTCCTGTTGAGGTTATTGTTTACGTCCATACCATGTCCTGCTGAGGTCATTACCTACGTCCATACCATGTCCGGCTGAGGTCATTACCTACGTCCATACCATGTCCTGCTGAGGTCATTGACTACGTCCATACCATGTCCTGCTGAGGTCATTGACTACGTCCATACCGTGTCCGGCTGAGGTCAGTGCCTACGTCCATACCATGTCCTGCTGAGGTCATTGACTACGTCCATACCATGTCCTGCTGAGGTCAGTGCCCGGTTAAAGTGAAACGAGAGACCGCATGTCAAACTGCCTGTCGTAACGCACCCATAGCGCAGAACAGAAAGCCGATACGGTTGGCTGGCGACGCGTGCCGAAAAAAGGGCAGTGCCCCTTACCGGGAGGTGCATCCCCACCAGTGACCAGCACTTCATCTGTTTATGTTGTCCAGACGGCCGGGCGAGGCTTTGTTGCCAGACAATAGCCGCCCCCGCCCCGTCTGTCAAGTAGCCTTCAGGTAGGCTTCAAACATTTGAGCTAAAATGCCCAGGTCTAAAGTGTATGTAGATGAACAGACATGTGGAGTTTGTACAGTTTAACTACATAGAACTGGCGAGCTGTATGTAAAGATGGACGGAGATATGGAGTTTGTACTAAATACAATTGGCGAGCTGTATGTAAAGATGGGCAGAGATATGGAGTTTGTACTAAATACAACTGGCGAGCTGTATGTAAAGATGGGCAGAGGTATGGAGTTTGTACTAAATACAACAGGCGAGCTGTATGTAAAGATGGGCAGAGATATGGAGCTTGTACTAAATACAACAGGCGAGCTGTATGTAAAGATGGGCAGAGATATGGAGTTTGTACAGTTTAACTACATACAACTGGCGAGCTGTATGTAAAGATGGGCAGAGATATGGAGTTTGTACTAAATACAACTGGCCATCAAAAACACAGGCGTGTGCCAAGAAGGCAACAAAGGTTAAAGGTGACGGGGTCAGATGGGTGTCGCTGGTGACGAAAGCTGGTGGCGCGTGCAGCACCACCTGTTTAGGATTGAACAACCAATAATAGCAGGGTGAGAGCGTCACCTTTTTTTCTTTCATTCAAACCCCCCCCCCCACACCAATCTTAACTAGCATGCACACGGCTGGTGGATTATTGGGGGGGGGGGGGGGCGGCGGCGGCATGACCTCTTAACTTTTTATTTGTATAAAAACTAACTTTTTTTTTAAGACGACCAAGACCCGGCAAAGTTTGTATCGTTTTTCTCTCCCCTCCCATTAAGCGAGTCAAATTGGCAGTATCAAATGATGACCTTTAGCAGCGCCTGACCACTCGAGTGGCTGGACAAGGGTCGTCTCAGGTCATTGTTGGAGCCGGCGACTTCAGCTCAAGAAAATGATAGCCCCAACGTCTCGGCTTTTTATTTTTTGTCTCAGCTGAACAATTCATTTGCTCGTCGTTTTTTTTCTCCATCAGTGTCTACACGAGCCAGTCTTTAGTGGGCAGATGCTCTAGGTTCAAACCTGCCAACCTGCTTGAGCTAGATCAGGTTCAAACCTGCCAACCTGCTTGAGCTAGATCAGGTTAAAACCTGCCAACCTGCTTGAGCTA